GAGTGACCATTCCGTGTTCCTAACATCTTCCCGTGCACGCACTTCCATATATAATAGTAGGGTGATTGTTGATATGCCAAGTCGGTTGACCACACTCTGGTGCCGGGTCGGTACACCGTTCTCCCAAAATCCGTTGTTGGGGCATCAGTCCAAGGATCAATTGCCAGTTACCCTGCCCAGGATTCCCCTCGGCCTCAGAACTCATGATGCAAGGAACAAGGAAAAAATCAACGCGCCTGCAAACCTTTGATCTCAGTGGCTAGTCCTTTCACCTGGTCCTGACAAAGCTGAGGATGGACATTGAAGCACCACTCGAGAGGACAACATGACCTGACCGTTGAGATTCAGCTTGTGGGTTATAGTATATGTTATAGTCATTGTTCGTATCATCCGGGACGTCAAGTGTGGCGAGAGTTTCTCGCGTACACCATGAAGTTGTGGGGAATACAAACAATTATCTGTGATGAACGTATTCACGAACAGTGTCACAGGGTCAACGTTTCCTATTGATTACTTCCTGCCAGTCTTGGCGTTGATTCTTGCTTCGCAAGAAACATTTGAGTCAAGGGTGGCGGCTCGAAGCAAAGTCAGTCAAGGACACTGCTTCGACACTGGTCCCTCAAGGCTCCACACCTCAAGCAGTGCGATGGAAGCTGCCACGTCAAACTCCTGCCGTCAGAGATGCTCCTTCAGCTAATGAATGCTCTCGCCCCAAAACGAGTGCTCACAACTTTCTGCAAGTCACATGTTATTAGGGCCACGGCCAAGGCCACAGCTGCAAACATCATCTTCTGGGTCATTCTTACTACTCAATTTTGATTGATGTTCCGAAAGGAAATTTTGGTACTAGCAGTGGAGATTATGGGTTCAAAATGGTTCAAAGCATCAAGCTACATGGTTTGGACTTCATCAATGTACTCCTTCTCCCGCGCATGACCAGCCTCAACCGCCACTGGCTCGATCATCTCAGCTGGCATCTCCCGCACCGCCTCTCAATCGCATAGAGCTGGTTGTTGTAGGATGTTGTAGGATGCAAGGGTCCCAATGACCACCTCTTGGAAGGCTCCCAATGACCATGAAGGTCCATGATACATGAACCCTCGAACTAATGGAAACATGCTTTTCTGCCGTAGAGTCATTAGTCGCCGGTGACCTCTTCAAAGGCGCTCAAACCGAGACATCTGGAGTCCATGGGCTCGGGTCATTGGGGTCACTCGTTGACCAGTGCCCTAAGACATCAAACCCTTCCGGCGATCTCTTCGGCATCTCTCCTAATTAGTCATGTAGTGGACGGGTTGACAAATCATGAACCGGTGGAGATATTGATACATCTACTGTATAGACATCTCTAGCGGGAGAGGGTATGAATCAATCTGAATCAGCAGTCAACATTCTCCTGGGAAGAATTTGTGAATCCCAGACACTGCATAGTTCCCTACATTCACCCCTTTTCAACCACCCCAACGCATGTAAATATTGCATACATGAGAAGACATGTGAATTCCTCTGACCCCGAGTTCCCCATCTCTCAACGAAACGGTGCTCTCCCCCGGCCCGGGGAGCCGCACGAAGCGTGCATCTTCCACCAGCTGCTCTTGGTATTCCAACCTGGCCGATGGGGACTCCCATGGCGGCCACGTGCCACGCAATGCGGCCCGGGCCCCGACGGGTCACCTACGTAGCGACCGGTCGACTGGTCTGTTTCAGCCAGCATCGGTTTGATTGGGTTGTTCTGACCCTTCGTGGAGGGCGGATCAGGGCAGAAAACCATGCGGAAAACAAACATGCAATCCTGCGGTCTGGGGCACACAAGATGGGTCGTCTAAATATCTCAGGATGCTGACAACCCATCTACAGTATATGCCCTGGTCAGCAGCCCAGTCTTGAATCATGCGCAAAAACGACCAACGCAATTAGACCTACGTACGTAGTACTTCAAGTGTTTGTTTCCCCAGAGTAGGGAGGTGGAGAAGTTGTTCATGAAAGGGATGTGCTGGAAACTGTCCCACTATTAACCAAAGAGTGATCAAACACTCCAATCTCCTTCCAAGCGGCCTTCCAGGGCCAACACAAAGTAGGGATATGATGTCCAAAACAAAACAAACTCATCCAAAAGCGCATGAAACGCCTCTAGAATCGACCTCCTGGCGCCCATAGTCGCGGCGAAGACAAGCACCGAGTGCATCTGTTTTTGGGGCGAGTCCTGGATCTCGGAGAGTAGTGGGCTAGGTGGTGGGCTGCGACACCCCTCCCAGGTCCCGGATGGGTCCTGGTGGGCAAGGAGGGAGGAAGTCCTACCTCTGTTGTGGGAGCATTTTTGGGGAAAGTCCCAAGGCCACCCCCCCAAAGCCCGAAACATCCGGGAACTCGGCCTTTTGGTGAGCAGCTCCAGCTGTTCGTTTTGCAAGGTCCGCTGCTGGGAATCTTCCTGGAGCGCCTCGGAGTTCGGTTCAGAAAACCCCACTCGAAGTTCGGGCATCGGACACGTGTCCTCCGCTGAACAAGTCTAGATGCATAGTTTGTTTGGAGTGTACAATACCCCAAATCTAGGCTATAGGATGGTAAACACGGGTTATTGCCATCTACTAGCTCTACGGTGATGAGCACTTCTTCTACATCTCTCAATGGAAGCGAACATGGCATCAGATGTCGCTCTGCCTGGCGGATCTGCGTGAGCTTCACGTCCCAATCACTGCGCTCTACGCGCTCGCCCAGGTCACGCAGCTGCTCCTGGTCGTCGACCCCGTCGAAGCGGCGGGGCGCACCGTGCCGAACTTTGGCACTGTCTGTGGCCGTCGTTTTTGGGCACCAAAAAAACGATCTGGAACAGGACATATACAACGGGTCTAGGGCCAGGATAAGTATGGCTTCAGAATGCTTCAGATGTACCTCATGCGGGCCTTATAAGTACCCTGGCCCTTTATTTCAAGCATCACTCCCTTACCCCTCTCATGTTGGGAGTTGGTTTCTCTCGCTCTCTTTTTGGGGGGAGGTTCGAACTCTCTTGACACCATGCCAATCCTGTTGAAGCCCACTGACGACCTCTTCAAGACCGACGCACCGAGTTCATCCGATGAGCGCCCACGTGCGTTTCGCGCCTCGCGCGTTTCAAAGCGGGTCCGGAGCGTGCGGATCTGCTCCTGGAGACGATCTGCCCGGCGCGTCAATGATGCGTCCTGAAGAAAGCTTTGAAATAAGATTCTATATATTTATGGCACTAAGATGCACTAAGTTAGGACAGGCTATGTCTGAACATCTGTAAAATTAGGTTTTTGTTATCTAGTCCATTCCAGCAACTCCTGGTTCTTAGACAAATGAAACCTGGAAAGTCAACCACGAGCCCTTGTATAGAGCAAGCAGTGCAAAAAGTTGACCAGTGCTTGTGTTTGAAACAGCACGTTTCAGCGATTTGACCCCAATCCTTTCAGCTTTCGAACACTTTTCTTCTTGATTTCCCCGAAATGCTGAGCCAATCAGCAGTTCTGTACACTGTACATCGATCTGAGCCCCGGTCAGCTAGTGTCACACGTGGATCCACAAATCAACCAACACTCGCCCACTGGGCGTGCCATCTGCAGGGGGTCAGTCCTTAAACCACAGGAGGAAAGACGGACTCAAACATCTGGCGATTTGGCAAATACCAAAGATCTCGGCGCTGTTGAGATGAATTGGATGAATCCTCTCAGAACCCCGCGCTGAGTCATTTTGTGAGCAAGCCATACGCCGACCCTGCTTAGAGGATTAAGGAACCAGACAAAATCGGCCCGTGGAAAACAAGGTTCCTCTAGACCAGCGATGTCCTGGGTGTTTCCTTATTATATGTTCCATGTCACGGTAGGGGCTGTATCCACCAGACTGATGCGTAGAACTTGTGGCAGTTGGGAATTCCCAGATCCGCGAAGGACAACGGCACGCCTGTACACGCTTGGCTTTGATCCATACCACACGGGCCCGGAGAAAGGGGCACCAAGTGAGAGATCCTCTGAGAGGTGGGGAGCAGGCGACTTGAGACAACCTCAGTGGCAAAACCGTCCAGCGCAAACCGTCGTGCGCTCTTCCGGCTCTCCCACCTGTTCAAGACATCACATCCACCGACCCCACGCGTCACCAGAAAATGAGGCATCCGGGTCTACCCCACTGGTTACGGAAAAGCATCTGCGGGTATAGGTCTAGATCTCAACGTCTGCAGTAAGATGTTTTAGCAATCTCTTTAACCTCGATTTCTCTTTTCTGGACATCCAGTGCACCACAACGTTGACTTGTCGAACCTTCAGCGCAACTCATCCAAGTCAATGATGTTGCTGTGGAAGTACTCCACCTTCTGTCGCGACTGGAGAACCTCAGGCGGCTGAGACCGCGGCTCAGGCGCTTCCAGGCGTTGGTCCGGGGTCTTTGGACAGAAGTCTTGATTCCATTGATGTAGATGTCAGCACACAGCAAAGCACTGCAAGTCCGCCCCTTAGCAAAGCAACTTGGTCTATTTTTGGCCAAGCTCCGGCCCCCAAACAAGCACTTTTCATATGTCCTGCTTGGCCTGGGGATGATGAGGGGTCAACCGACCCACAACCTCCAAAGGATCTCAGGATCCACCACAAAGTGGAAACATGTACACACAGATTCTCTGTGTTCTCACATGTCTTCTCCAACAAAATGACACACCTCACCAACATAAACCCCTAGCCTAGCCATAAATCAAGAAGTCCAACATCTCATTCCACTACACCACAACCCCCAAGTCTGGCCATGCCAGCACTCTTGCTTCGCTTTCTTACCAGGAAACCACGGAAACCAAAGAACTCCACCCAGGCACGCTCTTCCGCACACGGCGCGCCATCTCCGCGTGGAAGCGGCGCAACTCCTCGCCCAGGAACGCCTCGGCGCCGCGCCCAGGCGACTCGGTGGCATCTCGGTGGCATCTCGGTGTGCTGGGATGGACGGACGGATGCTTCGGATGTGAAGAGGAGGTCAAGAACTGCATCAGGCTGTTCTAAGAGTTACTTGTTTTCTTTTCATACCATGAAGTCCTGCTGAAGGAAGCAATGTAACAAGCATTTCGGCACCTGTACTTGTTCTATATGGGCTCTAAAGCGTTTTCGATGGAGTGTGGGTTCTGAAAATATTCCCGTTGCAAGTTTAGTAGCATGGACGCAGCCAGAATGATGTCTATACCTGTTCCGGGGGCATGATTGTATTCCTCCTGCTGTATTCTGCCAACTACAGGTTGTGTTCACAATGGCTGCTGTCAAGCACCTCCTAAGAGAAAAACCACACAAACTTCACAAGAGACCGAAGGATACCGAAGGCAGAGTTCCAAAGTCGACCGAAGGCAACGTCGACCTGACATGACATGCGTTATAACGAAATGGCCAGAACTCTTGCTGCGTCTGCTTATGTTTGAAACCCACTCACATTTCAGGATACGTCGGTTTCAGTGCACTCCTCTTGCCTTCCGGTCATTTGCAACCTTTTGCTGTCCAGCTGTGTAACAACGGCAGTGAACCAAAAACGACCCAGGGATCAAAGCGGGAACCTCGGCACTGCAGAATGCCCCACGCACTCCAGCGTCGGACGCTCGTAGCACACCGGGTTCAAAGACTACAGAGATATCATAGATGGAACTTCCATTGAAGGCTAAATGGAGGGTGTGTGGAGAAAGGGGGTCAGCAAAAATCGTTTGTACGAAGTTAGTGCATCAAAAATACCTTCCACGAAGTTCTGCGAAGGTTTCTGGGATTTCGTTGCAGTCAGTTCTCCTACTGGCCCAGCATTCCACGAACTGTCCACGAATAGCCTTGGGTTCTACGTATGTCCCGCGCCTTCCACGATGTTAGTAGAACAGGTTTTTGCAAAACCCTTTCTGTGCACTACCCTTCCGGTTGCCTCTGATCCATAGTCCTCTGCATCTGAGGACTTTTGCAGAGACACACCTCTCTCCCACTCAAGGACCGTTATGTTGCATGTCCAAAAATCCATAGACTCACTCTAGACATTTGCCTGCCATTTCCAGCAAAAAGCCACCCAACTCATGAGGACCGATGTTGAATGCCTCGGCTTCGGACCGACCTTTCGGGAAGGACCGACCTGTTCCACGTGGACGATCCCATGGAGTCGGACCATCCACCGCAAGGATGGAAGCGATGGAAATACCCTCCAAACATACAAGTGGACAGTCCGCCATTGTCCACTGAGTCATGGCTGTTATTTCGGGAGGGTACATCATAACCACCATTGTCCATGAAGATTGACATGGTGGACCATGATTTCGATGGTCTCGACCACGAGAATGAGAGGTTTTTCGAGACAGGACATTCCTCTCCTCTCATGACCGGTCCCGCCAGGCGCATTGACAGGAAACATGAACGATTTGAATGGACTTGACGTGGGGCGTCTACTGAACAGACCTGGCAATGGACTCGGCAGCACTTGAAATATTCTTGAGCTGCTGAAGGGTGCGTGCGCGCAATGAACTCTGAGCGTTATTTTAAGAGGCAGCAAGTGTGTGTGTGTGTGTGTGCGTGTGTCAACCCCTGTTTCAAAGGGTCACTCTTCCGACTTGTACAGCTTTACATTCTGCAGGGGGCAGTAGCCCACTCACGAGCCTACTGCCAACGAAGCTACTCATCAGTTGGGAGGATATTGGAGCTGATCACTCCGACGTACCTGCACTCCATTGTTTGTGGTGTTTTCAGCTGTAGCTTCTTGCCCCTAGTAGTAAGGCCAGGAGCCCCTAGTAGCGTCTTTGCTCCTAGTAGCGATGCCCTTTGTTACGAGTAGTTACTTGCTCCTAGTCGTACGGCCAGGAGCCCCGTTCGTAGCGTTCCGTCAAAGTGCTAAGGCGTATGTTCCACATTTCTGTTCCTTGGACCCTTTCGTCGTTCCCTCAGCTAGTGCATCGATGAGTTCATTAACTGAATGCTCAACCAGCCGAGCTCTATATCTACAGTAAGAGTGACAGTGTATGGTGTGTATGGTGTGTATGGTGTGTATGGTGTATGGCTGGTGATGTCAACTTGAAGAAGCAACTGCCACCCAGTCACCAACCCTGTGATCTTTCTGCCGAAGAATTGGTCCGGCATGTCAGCCGAAGGATGGGTCCGGCGGATGCAAGACAGTTGTGCCTGAGTGGGTTTCTTCAAGAGTCTCTGCTCAGTTTTGGGCTGCTGATTGCTGAATTGCTAGTTCCTACAGAAGCCGTCACCTTGAAGAAACATGAAGAAACCTCCTCTCTTCCGGCTTGAGGCATATGTATGCCTTTGTCAGAATACAAAACTAACTAACCCTCAAGAGTTGCTGCTGCTGTTCAACAGCTAGGAAGACTCACCCCTCAGAAAGTGTCGCCACCTCACCACATAGCTGCAACTATGTCTTTGGAGCTCTCACAAATTCATCATCATCAACAGGAGCATGACCGTTGGACTTGTACTTGTCTGCTAGCTCGATACGATAGGGATTGCCTTCGTCCCACAAGCGCACAATCTTGCCAGGCATCCACGCATCTTCGCCCACACAAACTTCCACTTCATCACCTACCTTGAAGCGAAGCTCTCCCTCCACCTTGCATGCCTGAAAACAAGGTTCTCTTTCCCCTACACCTTGTTGAAAATGACATCCAACGTTAAACAAAAGGACCTGTCAGTGGGTCATCCTCTTCTCCTATTCGAATAATGCTTTCTCCCAAGCGGAGCCTTCACTTCCTGAAGGAGTGCCTCTTTTTCAAGGTTCCTGCCAATGAAGACGAACCGATTCTCACGTACTTCATCCTCTTGCCAAAGATTCTCTGTGAAGCCTCCGGAAAACCTTGGAACTGCTCCAGCCACAGCGGAAATTCGATGAAAGCATACAAAGCAACGAACATGTATACGGAAATCACAAATGTCTGATCCAGCTTGGGGACAAAAGAAACAAACATCTAAACAACACAGCATTATTTTGTAAAGAAACAAAAAACTGAAAAACATGTGATATAGCAAAAAGGTAATTCAATTTCAGCCATACTAGAAAACAGCATGTGCACGCCCTGGAAGACATACTTCTGGTCCATGCCTTTTACAGCCAGGACTCCTTTGTATCGGAAAAGGTCTTTCCCCTTGTTCCTTAGTTAGTTTTTCCAGTTGAATGAAATGTGAGAAAGCACTAGAAT